TTTCACTATTTCCCATGAAGGATTAACAATTTCTCCCTTGTCCCTGCATAACTGAGAAACTAACATAGCATATGGGAGTGAGGGTTTCTTTCTATCCACAACAAGTAACATTTGACCCATGATAAGGTTTGGCAAATCAATTGTGTGTCTCATCTCAAATGCATACAAGAAATAGGTCTGCTCAGTATAAACACTTCTTTGAATGCTGGTATAGTTGGACACTCTGCTGCAGAATATCCTGATAACCCACAAATTTCACATATTTGATTAGTAGTAGATACAACTTATGCTTGCTTAATTTTTTTCATTTTTAATGCTTCTAGTTTTCGGGATAAATTAGCCATTTTAGCCCTTAAGTTATCATCTTCTTTTAATACATATTTTCCTCTTTCGAATGTAGATGACTTGGTTTCTACTATATTTGAAGAAGTCGAGTCCCACATCTGGGAACTCTCAGAAATAGTATCAAAAAATTGAAACGCTTCTTCAAAATTTTTACTCATAAATTTTCCTTGCGCCATCATTTCAACAAATTGTCGCATTGCAGGTGGAAGAGCATCATAAAAAAAACCAACTAAAATCCAATTTTCAAATGCATGATGTGGACAAGCTTGGAAAAGATCTTTAAATCTTTTCTAACATTGACAAAAAGTTTCACCTTCTTTTATAGAAAAATTCATTATTTGACGTCTTAATGTACTTGTACGATGCACATAATTTTTTTTAAAAAAAAATTCAGTTTGTAAAACTTGCCAATTTTTTATAGAATTAGCTCTTAAAGAGTTAAGCCACTGTTTCGCTTTATCTTTCAAGGAAAAAAGAAAAGTTTTAATCTGACAATTTCATAATTATCTTGCAAAGTTCCACAAACTTCTTCAAATTCTTTCATATGCACATAAGGATTTTTAGTTTCTAAATCATGAAACTGTGGTAATAACTATATTGTTCCTGCCTTAATATTAATATTTGGAGCATCTGTTGAAAAAACAAAACATGACGAGACATTAGTTCGTGTAAGATGTAAATATTCTCTTAATGGTCGAACATTTTGAACTACTTCTTGTTCTCTAGGATGTTCTTCCCTAGGTACGTTTCTAGCCATACTTAACTCAGGTATACATAAAACTAATATGTGTTTGCATTTTATACTGTGCATTTTCACGGTAGACACCAACTCAATTTCAAACTGCGATGTGCAATTGCAGTTGTGTCGTTCCATTGGGCACGAGTTGTTAGGTATGGATCGTTTGATTTTTGGGGATTGTAATGTTTGTTATTCAGTTATGTATACAGATTGACATTTTCATTGTCTCCTATTTTTAAAAAAATCTGCAGAAATTTTACAAAAATAGCAGGTTATTATTATATTGATTTTACATTCTTTAATCAAATGATATAAATACTAACCTATATCAAATTAACCAGATTTGCGTGAGTTTTTGTTTATTTTGTATTTAATATGGTGAAGTAAATAAATGTTTATGGAGATATGTTTGACTTGATTTGAAGTTTCTTGTTGTTTTGGTTGTTTCGTTCATTTTTCAATTATGTATATAGGTTCATATTTTCAAAATAAACAATGTCAAAATTTTGAAAAAAAATATTGGGTTATTAGTAGATTGATTGATTTATGTGAACCAAAAACTAAGTGTTATGGTGAGTGAACAATTCACAAGCATATTTAGTGGGTTGCAAAGTGCCTTCAGTCAATGGTTGTTTGCATTGGTCTTCTCTTTACATGTCTGTTGTGTGAACCGAGTTTAGTAAACTAAACGAAACACACATTGTGTGATTGGTTTATTTTGATTAGAATTGATAGTTGCCAAAGTTTGGTAGGTTTGGAATGGTGATTTTTTTGGGGAATTTTGATTGTGAATTATGATTATTGTTTTGTCTGATTGTGAATTGTAAATTCAAGAGACTTTGAGTTTTGTAGACAAGTTGTGATTTTTTGGGCTCCTATTGTTAGAGCAATCTCTGTCGAAATAGTAATTGCCAACAAATGTTAACTTGTCGATATTGATTTCAATTTCCTTAATTAAATTATTTTAAATTAATTTTTTTTTCGAATTAAATCATCGTATCGTGCTTTTAGGCATGAGTTACCCATAGTATATTTAATATAATACAAATATTTTACTTGCATATTTTCTCATTAAAATAGAAAATGACATACTTTTATTAAATAATAAATTTAGTTTGACTACAAATAGCAAGATTTTAGTATATAATTCTATCAAAAACTGCATTTCTTAATGGAGAACTGGATGAGGAGATTTACATCGATCAACCTGAGGGCTTTGTGATAGTGGATCAGGAGAACAAAGTTTGTAGACTCCAATGCCTAAAGTAGTCATCCAGACAATGGTACCTAAGATTTCATCGAGCTATTACTTCTAATGACAATTTCTATCATTGTATGTTGACGACATTCTATTGGAAGGAAACAATAATTAAGGAGATCCACCACTCGAAGGTGGTTGTCCTCAACATTTGAGATGAAGGATTTGGGCAAAGCAAGTTATGTGTTCGGAGTTAAGATCCTCAAGGGTCATTCTAAGAAACGTCTTGCTTTGTCTTAAGAGACTTACATTAAAAAGGCTATTGAACGATTCTAAATGCAGAACTGCAAATCTATAGACAATCATGTAGAGAAAGACAAAAAGCGAGAGCCGAAGCCTAAAGATATGCCCTAAGAATCTTGAGGAAAAGGAAACGATGGCTCGTGTTCCCTATGCTAGTGTTGTAGGTAGCTTAATGTACATCATGATGTGTACTTGTCCTGATATTTGCTATGCAGTTGGCTTGGTTAGTCATTTGCAGTCAAATCATGTAGTTGCTCATTATAAGGCATTCAAAAGGATAATACAATATCTCAAGGGGCCTTCAGATTATATGTTATGCTAAGTCTCCAGATTTATAGATGATTGGTTATAGTGATACTAATTGAGGTGATGATATAGATGAACGAAAGTCTACAATAGGATATGCTTTCTTACTTAATAGAGGGGCCATTACATGGAATAGAAAAAAGCACTCCTAAATATCTTTATACACCATGGAAGTAGAATACCTGGCTTGTTTTGTTGTTGTACATGAAGCTGTTTCGCTAAGAAGGCTCCTTCAACATCTAGGGGTTGTCACATATAGCTTGCGACTAATGATAATTCATTGTGATAGCATGACTGCATTTGCTTATCATAGCTGCTAAGGATTCTAAGTATCTTGGAAGAACCAAACACATAGATTTAAGATATCATTACATTAGGGACATGATTGCACAGAATGAAGTGATCTTGAAGCATATGCCTACAACTCAGATGGTTGTAGATCCCTTGACTAAGCTTCTAGCTATAGATGTGTATATGCGTCATGTTAGAACTCTAGGACTTCGTAGGTATTGATTATGTGCTAGAGATTGTATAGATCACAAAATCATTTGTATTGATTTTTTTTTAATATTAATACATAGTTATTTGCAATTAAATAATATATTGTTTGATTACCTTGGTATTCGAGAAAACACACACATTAAGTGTGTCAGTGGGTGTATTGGCTCACTCACATGAGTAATCGCCTTTGGAGCTTAAGATGGCGAGCAAAGATAAGATTCTCTAACATATAGTATCACTCTGTTTTGTAAACAAAATGAGATCTGATATTTGAGAATCAATAATGGACACGACTCCATGTCCATTATGCATGTGTTATGTTGATTGTCCAAATGCAAGATCTTATTTCAATGCCTTTGGAGGGCAAGCACATAGGAAATTTGGGTTAGATGCTTGTGGAGTGACTAGACTAAGATCAGTGTTTGAGTATGACATACGCTCTCATTAGGTTTGAGACACTTCACCGTAGCATATATCATACTATATATGCTTGGCGACCAATTAAGGAGGTGAAGGAATGAATCCTTGCGTCCTCACTGTTTGAGTTCTCCGAGTCATTTTTATATGACCAAGTTACTTTGTATAACCGAACATTCAACGTACTCTCTAGCTTTGACTATGTCATAAAGTGAAAGAATTAATGTTCCACTACTTTGGCATGTTACTTACAACCATGAGTGATTCAGCCTTCTAGGGCTTTGCTGGGAAAGCAGTTAATTATGAACTAAGTGAAGGCGAAAGGAAGATCATTCAAATCATCCCACGATATAGTCATTGTCGATAACTTTGAGCCCTAGTTTAAATAGTGACAAAATGTGAATATATAAACAAAAGTTTTGAGGAATTAAGCATGCTCTTATATTGTAAGGAATTAGAGATGCTTAAACCAGTATATCCAAATGGATCCAGAGCACTTGAAACAACATTTTTATTTTTAGGGTTGATGTCTCTATGTTGGCTCTATACAATTTTTAGTGTAGAGCTCTCAAATTACAGTTGTGTTTAACTATCGTAAAACGTATTAGCCTGTATGAATTAAAGTTTGATCATAGACCCGAACTAGGACACCCATGAACTCTTGAAGGAGATGTTGTACAAGACTCTTGAAGGAGTCCTTTATCACCCAAAGAATGTCTATTAAACTACTAATTGTCGTATCCTTTTCCAAGGCATCTATTAGTTGTCCGTATAAACCCTAAGGCAACCAATGGTCATCATGAGAAAAAAAAATCTTTAATGTTAAAATTGTCACCTCTTTCTCTCTCTCTCTCTCTCTCTCTCTCTCTCTCTCTCTCTCTCTCTCTCTCCATAACATTGAAAAGCTTTTATGCTATGAAAATCCAAAATTGATTCCTCGTGTAATGACACCATACTGCTCGAACAAAATATACATTTTTTGGATTCTAAATACGTGGAATATCTTTCAAAGATTTCATGATTAAAACAAATAATGTATGTCGTTAATCCTATGCTTCCGTAATATATATATGTTTCCTGACAATCTTAAATGTTAAAACTATAGTTCCAATCCCAAACAATCCTATCTTGCCATCAACAGATTAAGTTGTAATTTCACCCTTATTTCATAGTAAGTTTGGCACAATGTCAAAGTAATTCTTTGGTACCACAGTCCAATCTTACCCGCTATATTCGGGGAATGATAAGCTCGACCTTTTCTTGTCACAGAAACTTGCAAGGGAGCCCCGGAGTGGCAAGAACAGATCCAGGTTTTTTTCTTAAACTGAAAAAGAACGAAATCAAGATAGCAAAACGAAAAAAAAAAAAAAAATCAATTTTTCCTTTGAGTCTTTCTGTCCACATAGTTACACATGTTGAGCTCTCATTGGTGAAAAAATTGAACAATCACTAACCAAAATACTTTTTAAGTCGACCTGAGCAAATGCTATAAACTAAACCCAGTAATACATAGAGCTGTCGGTCTGCACATTTGAGTTTGTGAAACGTTTTGATGGCTTCTATTTCTTGTTGAATATGCCAAACAATGATTTCATGGCATTGATGGCATTTTCATTGATGAATGATTCATCAAACTTTTTCAGAAGGGGCTCGAATTCCTCCGATGTCCTTATATTCGAAAGGTCAGGGTCTGTCCGGATTCTCTGTGATAGTCGCAACGTGTTAGATTATTTCCAGAAAGTTCTGCTTAATATAATCCAAGATAATTTCTAATGATAGTACCTTAAAATCTTCGAATCCTGCTTTCAAAGCATCTTCAAGGGCAGAGAGTCCCGCTTGTATCTGCCAGTTCACTCAGAAAAATAGTAAAAATTAAAAAAAAAAAAAAAAAGAAAGAAAAGAAAAGAAAAGAGAAGAGAAAGCAAATGAATGCCCCTATGAATAAATGGCTCAACTATAAAAAGAGGACGAGAATATCTCTTCCTTCTGTCAGCTGCAAATAAAAAGTGCCAGAAGTTGCATATGATATTTCTCATATCAACTAGATATGTGAGTTCGTTCACAGTTAAACTCAGCTCAGGTAAATGTCAAGAAAGCTAACATGGTCAACTATAACCCCAGAAACTAGACACTTGCTAGCGAATATCAAAAGAGGGGAGGGGATGAAGACAAGAAGGGGTGAGGCCTATGACTGGGTGAACAATTTTGAAAGTGTGTAAATTGAACCAAGGTAATGGACTAGTAGAGTTGTTATAGGCAATGGAATTGTTCGAATTAAATAAAAGTTTTAAAATTTTCATTTGTTATTATTTATTTTATTGGCTTTAATTCGCCTCTTTTAATTGAGGAAGTTAATGGGGTAGTTAGAAAAAATTATTTTAATTGGGTGATTCAAAGGATTTTATTATGGGAATTATTAGTAGTATATGACGTTGGTTCCCATGCCTATAGATGTGGCAAATCTAACAAGTCCCGTAGGTTTACGCAGGATATCTCTTTTCTTTTGAGATTGAAGGCAACTTTGCTTCATTTTATGTTTTTCAATTCCATATTTTCTATATTGTTATTTCTTGGACAACTTGATTTGAGTCATGTTCATTCCTACCTTTTAGTGGGCATAACCTTTGACGATGTGTTGCTACGAGTGTTTAGGTTTGATTTTTAGGACAGTGTTCACACGACTCTCGAAGTCGCAGGCTAGCTCTTTTTAATTTATGTTATTTATTTTATTTTATTCTATTTATTGCTATTTTATACTTGATTGCATATTCTTGTTATTTAGTAATGTGATCCCGAAATTAATTTGATGTTTTTATACTAATATCCCCAACAGGAATAACATTCTACTTAAACTAAAATTGTACCTGATTAAGCTTGGAATAACAGCATGCAACATTGTAACTTGCTACTGAAGCTTCATTTGGATCTGGCTGTGACCCCAAGACTAACTCAAATTTCTCCATTGCTTGTTCAAATTTCGCACTCCTTCATCAATTATTAAAAGGAAAAAAGGGTTAGCCTCATGAAAGTCGTGAATTTTGGAAAATCAAAATTTGATATAAAGGTGTTTGGAAGATGATTGACAATCCCAGAGGCATCCAGGTTGCCATAGATGCAAAAGGTTGCTGGCCATGGTGAATCCAGCATTCCTCATGCACTCACGAAGCCTGTGATCACAAAAATGCCAATTTGGCATGACCCCCGGCATTAGAGGAAGTAATTGAATTCGCGTGAAATGGACAAGGATTAATTAGAATATAGCAGCTCAAGATTATAACTATTGTGCTATAGTGAGCTTCTTGTCCATCCAGCTCGTTGAGTACATGAAGACAATCCAAGGATTGGAAGAAAAGGAAACCAGGGCCAGTGGGTGGTGATACCATACTAAACATAAGTTGAATCGCCATGGCTTACTTGTAAAGTAGTAATCCGGAACGGAGGTCGTTCTCTCTGCATTCTTTCTGTTCCTTTTTCCTTAGATAATTTTGCATCTGAAATTGATTTCATGTGGCATATTCTACATTGGTGCCAAGCTACTCAACAGGTTTTATTACATGATACAAGAATGAAGGGAATCGCAAACAATGTGCAACTTCAGCACGAGTTTTACTTACTTGGATTTCTCTCACTCTGTTACTGATTACACCAGAATTTCTCTCTTCTCGGATAATTTCCTTTTCTGTTAGTTCACCTGTATAATCAACCTTTCCTGGCAACCATGTAAAATCGTTCACAGACTTAGAATTAATGCATCATTTATGGGATCATTACAACCTCTAACAAGAGTATAAGTGACCTATGAATAGAGGACATAATGCAATTTCAAGTGACTTTTCCTTCGCAAGTTATAGGGTCTTGTGACAGCATTGGTTGCAAGTGATGGATGCCTCCAGTACTTGCGTTATATACTGATGAACACAGAGAGATGAGTGAGAAAATGAAATGAACTAACCGTATCTTTTCTGCATTTTCATGAGCAATGGGCCAACTCTCTGGCGGATGGTGTACATTGTTCTTCCATATTCAGCTGCAGGCCATATTTCGTTTCCAAATACAGCACTGCATACATTTAGCACTATTTGGTCACATTCTCAACATGGATTCAATTACACATGATCAATCACCAAGATAATTTTTTTTTTTCACAGGCTGTAAATACATGCCAAAAGTCTGATACATGTAAGGAATTTTGGCTCAATTAAGAGAAATAACTGAAAATTAAGGAAAGCAATTGTTGTGGATGACTGATATTTGTGAACAGCGTGGTACGAACAGCCAATGTGAAAATTTTATTTTTTTTAATATTGCGAAAAATAAAAGTAAAATTTCAGTTCTACAAATTATTCAGGCAGAAAATATCGAACATGAGATACTGATAGATCACATATTTCCTGGAAATAAATTACTACATATCAGTTCCAAATTCTCAGAAATTAGCAAGATTCTGCATTGTTTTTGCTAAAAGATGAAGATATATTCTAGGATATGTTCTCATAACCACATAGAGACATTAAGGATAAAAAAGTAAATGAGAAAATCAGAGGGTACCTAGTGGCAAGTACTTTATCCCCAACTGCGAACATCCCAGACTTATCAGCTGATCCTCCCGTTGCAATGGCATCAATGTAAGTCCCACCATCTCTGCCCTTAGCAAACTTCAGTCCATATGGTTGCACCAATTCTACCTCATACTCTTCATATTCGTCGTCTTCCTTTTTGCCTACGCTCTCTGATTTCGATGTCTGAGCCTCAGTTTCCGATGCTTTGACGACAAAAATAGGGGCTTTTGCCAAATGAGTATCGCAGAAACAGACAGAAGTGCTCACAAATGGATGCTTCTGGGTTACAGATCGCTTGACGTGAGAGAAAAGAGATAGGTTTTGGCTGGTTGTTGCATAAGCTCTTGAAAATGGTGGGGAAGAACAGAGAGATGGGTAGCTGCTAGGAGCTACAGACATGGTCAATACTAGCTCTCTCTCTCCCTCTTTCTCTCTCACACACACACAAACACACACACACACACACACGCACACGCACAATGTTGTTTCTTCCGGGTTCAGAGTTCAAGAGATCACTGAGCGCCTGCCCATCCGGTGACAGGGGGAAACTTCTATGGGGAGGGAGGAGAGGGATTGGCGGCGCTAGAGATTACAAGTGAATGACTAGTGGTTCTAGTATGCCCTTCAGCATGTGATGCCACGTGGCAATCAGTTGCGGGATGGATAGTGGAATGAGAAAAACGAATAGGATTAATTACAACCTGCCCTCCAACTATGTCTCTTGTTACAATGAGTTCTCTAGTTTTAAATATTATAATTTGTCCCTTATAAATTTCAAGCAGATTAAATTGTTTGTCACTCCATGTACATTATTTCACATATAATTTTCTTAAGATCTCAATTTTGTCCCTAAAATGTAAGAGAACTTTTGCCTCTGCCTCGTCCTATGGAAAAGAAGACTTATATTAAAAGATCAAAAAGAATAAGAGTTAATCATTCAAGATAGGGGACAATAAAAAGGTGCACGGACGAGGGGGAATATGAATATTTGATATGAATATTTAATACATGGGAAATATGTGTAAAGTTAATTTATCTATATTCAACAAAGTGGGGAACGTATGAATTTAACATGTCTAATTATTGTTGATGAGACATTTTCGAAATACTCAAAGATGAAGACACGTGTTCTCGGTGTCACTAATCCTTGTTTATCGAGATTACGTATCCATCGGGTCACAAGTCCCCTCTACCCCGAGGTACTTATCATGGGATCGAGTGGCATCCAGTATATTTTTTATGTACCGACACGTATCCTCGGTCTGATATGGTACATCGGTCGCTAGGCCTCTCCATTCTCGAATTCAAGGTGTACCTCTTCCTCGGTTCCGAGATGTACCTCTTCCTCGGTACCGAGATGTCCCCCCTCTCATCCATGATGAAGTTCTCTGCTCCAGCAGAGGTTATTGATGCATTGGTCACTAGCCTAGGCTAGGCTAGGTTAGCTATCATGACCTCGTCTTACACAATTGGTATCAGAAGGCACAGGAAGGCAGGGGCCACAGCCAATGAGAAATGGACGCGTGGCATATTGTGTCACATCAGAGACAGAAAGACCGCATGACCTTGCTGACACGCGACTTGGGAAAACAAGCATTTAATTACACAATTCCCTTGATGAGACTGTATTCAATGCGGTAAGGCTCAGAAGTGAAAGACAATAAATGTCTCTAAGGCTAGGCATTTATTGCATCCTCCCTGAGAGGAGCTCATTGAACCGTCGGCAGGCCGATGACACAGACTTGATTGTTCGGGGTCCCAAGCAGTTAAGAGAGAAGACATTCCTCATAGGAATCAGTGCGCACATTGCCCTGTATCTAATGATCACCTACTGACCACACTGACAACAATCATGAGTATTTGATGTATAAATACTCCTCACTAAAGGCAAAAATAGGAGGTGAAACTTCTGCTACAAATTATACTCAGTGTTTTCTTCTTCCTCTCTTTCAAAAACTGAATTGATCGTCGGAGGGGATACACCGAAAAACACTTCGGCGCCCTTCTAATTTGTTCTTCTTTGTTTCAGGAACCTTTCTTCAGCTTTACTGGATCGTTCCTTTAATCCGCGAGGGTCTCCCATTACCGTTTCAAGTTACCACCGGATCTCACAGACTGTTCCAAGCAGCGTGGTTGACCACTCAACTGACTCACTCGAGTTCACCAAGGGAGAGTTCTGTTCTCGTTTTTATATTGTGCAAGATGTAGCACGCACAATCTGGCGCCGTCTGTGGAAAATGACTAGTTTTCCTAGTTTTTCTCTATAAAGAACAGTGACCATGGTGAACACTCGACAAAAAGGGAAAGGTCCCCACCAAAGAAGTCTCGAATTACAAGCTCCCTGTCACCACGGAGGAAGGGATCACATTGATGGGAATAAAAATGCCTCTACTCAGTCAAGAGGGGTTACCCCTCAGACTAGTATGGGAATCAGGTCAGGAGGATCAGCTCCCCTGGCTCGTCAGCTGGCGGAGGTGATCGAAGAAAAGTTTGGCGATAGATTACGACAGTTGGAAAAGGACAATGTAAATGTCCTAAGTCGGATCAACGAATTTGCCACCTCCGACGAAGGGTCGAGGGACTCATTCCTCTCTCGTGGGCTCCCCGCCCGGGAGGCAGAAACGAAGAATCTAAGGAATTATCTAAACAACAAGGCAGAAAGCTCCAGGGCCCAAAAGTTACCAAGAGCCAACGAGCACCCTCCTAACGACCATTCAAGGAAGGGCAGGCCATTAGCCCTAGATGACCTCCGGCGAGGATTGTCTAGACGGAGGAAAGGAGATGAGTCCGAGGAGGATTTTACCCTATCCACACGGCGCCCAGGAAATGGGGGGCCTATTGATGAACTCAAAGACTTCAGAAGACGTCCCGTCAGGGAGAAAATTGATCTCAGAGCCTGGTTGGAATCCAGGAGAAAGAGTAAGGCTGTCCAGGATGAGGTCGAAGACGAGGTCATACAAACATCCTTTACCAGGGAGATCGGAGAGATGGAGGTTTCAAGAAAGTTTGTCGTGCCGAGGTTCAAAACTTATGACGGGCGATCCGATCCCGAAGCCCATCTCAAGCAATACAAGCAGATGATGTCCCTCTATCATTCAGACCAACGGTTCCTCTGCCGAGTGTTTCCTATGAGCTTGGGGGACTCTGCGATGAAGTGGTTCGAGGCGCTTCCCCCCAACAATATTGGATCGTGGAAGGAATTAACGAGGCAGTTCCTGGCTCGATTCATTTCGGGGAGTAAGCAGCCCAAAGACGTTGGATCATTGCTGACGCTCAGACGTAGGGAATCCGAGACCCTTCGCCAGTATGTCATTCGATACTGGGAAGAGGTAAATGAGGTAGAAGGCTGCTCGAAAGTCATGGCAGCGGCGTCTTTCAGGCTCGGCTTGGCGAGGGACACAGACCTGTACCGATCCCTGACCAAGAAGACTCCCTTGGATATGGGCGAGTTGATGGCCCAGATAAACAAATACTCAAAGATCGAGGACGAGATGAGAAGCAGCAAAGGCCGAACCCTCCAATCCAAGAGAAAGGAGAGGGAGCGGGAAGATACTCCCCGAAAGGGATTGCTACCCCCTCCAGGGAGTTCGTCAAAAGGGGTTCATACTATATTCAAGGAACCCATCTTCAAGTTGCTCCATAAAATCAAGCATGAGCCGTTCTTCAAGTGGCCGCCCAAGATGCAGAGCGATCCCTCCACCCGTGATCAAAAGGTTAGGTGTTCCTATCACCGGGATTTTGGACATCGCACCGAAAGCTGCAGGGTATACAAATCGTTCTTGGAAAAATTGGTCCAAGACGGATACTTGAAAGAATACATAGAGCCCAGGCCAGAATAGAGACACACCCTTGCCCCGACCGAGGAGCCGGACAACGTCATAGATGTCATCTATGTATGTCCCCTAGATCGCCCCACATCCAAGGAACTCGAGTCCGACCTCAAGAGGGTAGCTTACCGATCAGCCCTTAAAGGCCATTTTGAGAAAAGCTGAACTCTCCGGAAGGATTTCCAAGTGGGCAGTGGAGCTGGGGGAACACGACATTCATTTCAAACCTCGAACCGCGGTAAAGGGTCAGGTGTTGGCGAACTTCATAGTTGAGTTTTCGGGGGAACATCCCGTTCTAGAAAGACTTCCTTCTCCCGATATAGCGTCTCCAACAAATTGTAAAGGATCGTCATGGCTTTTGTGTGTGGACAGTTCGTCAAATAGTAAAGGGTCCAGGATCGGTATCTTGCTGATCTCTCCAGATAGGATTGTCGCAGAGCAGGCCGTTCGGCTGAGATTCAAAGCGTCGAATAACGAAGCTGAATACGAGGCCCTCATCTCAGGACTTCGGTTAGCTGAAGCAACTGGAGTGACGGACTTGATCGTGCATTGCGATTCCATGCTGGTAGTCAACCAAGTTAACGGAGATTTTGAGACAAGGGACCCTAGGATGAAGGCTTACCATCACCAGGCGACAACTGTAATTTGAAGATTCAGAAGGATTGAGATCAAACAAGTGTCCCGAGACAAAAACACGCATGCCGACGCCTTGGCTAGTTTAGCCTCGGCGGTGGAGTCCTCTCAGTCACGTAGGATCATTATAGAATATCTTCCCGCATCTTGCATAGACCATGCTCCCGAGATAATGGCCGTCCAGGACGCACATAAGCCGCCCAGCTAGATTGATCCCTTTCTTAAGTTCCTAACAACAGGATACCTCCCGGAGTGTTCAAAATAGGCAAGGAAGATAAAACTCAAAGCCCCGAGATTTTGGGTCTCTCTAGATCAGAAGTTGTATCGAAGGTCTTTCTCAGGACCTTACTTATTATGTGTCCAAGAAGACCAGGTGGAAGACCTTCTCTATGAGGTACACGAAGGAATATGCGGGGGGCACTCTAGGGGGCGATCAATGGCACACCGCATCATGTCTCAGGGGTATTGGTGGCCGCGAATGCAAAGGGATGCGCGCGCATACGTCCAAAAATGCGACCAATGTCAGAAGTTCTCCCCTGCAATCAGGCAGCCCGCGGGGGACTTGCACCCCCTGACCAGCCCTTGGCCATTCGCCCAGTGGGGGCTCGATTTAGTCGGACCCCTGCCTAAGACTCCTGGAAACAGGAAGTTTCTCATTGTGGCCACAGATTATTTCACCAAATGGGTTGAGGCGGAGCCGTTGACTCACATCCGCGACATATATGCTAAAAAGTTCGTCTGGGAGAACATAGTCATCAGATTGGGATTCCCCGGGCAATGGTGTCGGATAACGGGACTCAATTCACCGGTGGGCATTTCAAGTCTTTCTGCGAGCAACTCGAAATCCGTAATTTCTACTCCACCCCTGCCTACCCCCAAGCCAACGGGCAGACAAAGGCCTCCAACAAAATAATTATCAGTGGAATCAAGAAGAGGTTGGAGAAAGCCAAGGGAAAATGGGCGAATGAGTTATTAAACATTTTGTGTGTACAGGACCACCCCTCGGTCCTCAATAGGAGAAACTCCATACTCCCTGGCTTACGGAATGGAAGCAATCATACCTCTCGAGGTAGGGCTCTCGACCATAAGGACCCAAGCTTTTGACGCAGGAGGAAATGACCGTCAACTTGGACTGAATT